CTCCCCTACCCCCCAGTGTCTTATGTCCATTGGTTATGCTTATATGCATGTATACAAGTCCTTTGGTTGATCTCTTACCCACCCCCCTCCTGCCCTCCCACCCTCCCCGGCCTTCCTGCTGTAGTCTGACAGTCTGTTCGAGGCAGCTCTGCCTCTGTATCTATTTTTGTTCATACAACAGCAATATTTTAAAGGTAATAATTAGGAAGCAGACCAAATACATCTAGAGTTCAGGTTTTTCTAAAAATAACATTATGAACTAGAATTCTTTTATTTTTAGCTTGAATACTGTTAAAATTGCCATGAGAAACACATTATTTTTTAAATGTTTTTATTTATTTTAGAGGGAGAGGGATAGATAGGTAGATAAAAACATTGATGAGAGAAAAACATCTATCAATTGCCTCCCGTATGCCTTCTCCTGGAGATTGAGCCTTCCTGACTGGGAATCAAACAGGTGACCTCTTGGTTCATGGGTTGACACTCAACCACAGAGCAACATAGGCCAGGCCACATTATGTTTTTAAGCCTAATGCATGATTACAAGACAGGTTAATTATCTAAAAAAATTATACTTTTGTGTAAATATATATGATTATATAATGTAATTATAATGATCACTATTATTGTAATGATTCATTTTACCCTTCTTTCTGTTGAGAACAAATTTATAGTTAAGTGAGGAAAATATTCAGGGGAAGACCACATTTAGGTTGTGAGGTAAAAAAGGACACAGTATAAATGCTTGCATGTAGGAATGGTGACTGTTTTTAATTCATAAAACCTACTCTGAGGATGTCATTATGTAAATAAGAGTTATAGGCATAGGTGTATGGAGGAATGGGAGAGGGAGAAGAACTATTTTCATTTCCTCTCCCTCTCTTGGTTCAACTGACATCACCCTGGAAGAAGATCTATAAGGCTAGAAAAGAATAAGATAGTCTAGTCAGTGATAAGTTCTATAATTAGTAGCAAATATATAAAAGACTTTTTAAAGAGTTGTGTAAGTCAGAGGTTACCTGCAATGTCTTGTATTTCAGTAGCACTGTTATTGTTTATTGTTAACTAGGGGCCCGGTGCATGAAATTCGTGCACTTGGTGTGTGTGTGGGGGGAGTGTCCCTCAGCCCAGCCTGCACCCTCTCACATACTGGGAGCCCTCAGGCGTTGACCCCCATCACCCTCCAATCGCAGGATCGGCCCCTTGCCCAGGCCTGACGCCTCT